CACAAAGCGTTAGCGCAAAAATGTATCGATAATAAAATCATCGTTACGATCAGGGCTGCACATCCCTATTGTACGGTATTCCGATTTCCGTCGTAAAGTGAGTGTCAATTGGGATTTTGATCAGAAAAATCGTTTAAACGAATAAATAGTTATTAAATGATATCTTATTAATATTATTTTAATACTTAAAATGCTAGGTTAGAAACGTAATAGTGAAATTACGGAATTTATGTTCTAATTCTGAACTTAAGACGTGTAAAGATGGCACATTTGCAATATCTACCGGGAGACCCACGTTTGGTCGATCAATTGGTTTGCGAGCTGAAATCCAAGGGTATATTCGATCAAGTAAGAGTCTACTGCCTTCTTAAACCCGTATTTATGTTAACATTAGAAGATATAGGTTGTGTTAGGTATTATTTCAACATGTAACTAATGTCATTTCGTAAGCTGTGTTTTAACAAAAACATTCGCATTTTAATGCACTTTCAAGTGTATTCACCGTAAATATCATTAAATACTAAGGGTCGTTTTCCAGAACTCTACTCAATGCTCAAGTCAGGCCTAGAGCATTGAATAGAGTTCTGATAACCCCTAAGTGTTGTATTAAATATATGTATTTTTGTACTTTATACCTTAAGTAAAATAAAAATAATTGTTTTGTGATTGTTGATTTTTAAATTCCTATTCATTAATTTCAAGTATAAGAGTTGGTCTAGTGGAGTGATAATGTAAGTTATATTGTCCCTCTTCTGACTATCTGTAGTTAATAGCATATCATCTCTTGGCAAATGACACTACTCAAAGTTATTACCTAAAGTAATGGATATCTATGTATTTAAGTTTATGAACAGCCTCTGTGGCCGAATAACCACATATACTAATAACCAGGGTACCCACCCTGCTTTATAGAGAAATATTTGTATGACCTACATTTATTTCTCTTCTGAGTTTAGGTGTAATTTGTGTATTTGTGAACGTGTGTGTCTGTGGCACCCGTGATACAGAGTTTCCTTAGTGCGGGGCTATGAGTGTGCGTATTGTTTATTATTTTTTTATTGGCTGTATTTAAGTTAAATATTTTTTTATTGTTCTACTTGAATCGAACCAGTCCATGGGCCTTAATCATGAGACTCTGTGGTGGTAACTCGATTTACTTAATATGTCTGAGTCTCATGGTAGTTTTCTACTTAAAGAAAACTCTGCTCAAGTTGGAAATGGTCAGTTTTTATTGTTAAATGTTACTGAAGTCAAAATAGAATGTGAATATCTATGAAAATGTTATAATATAACAATTATTAAAAATTTGAGTCTTATTTAACTGGTTCCATGGCTGAATGGTTACTATGCTGGTCACCCTCGCAGTTGACCCTGGTTTGATTGCCAAGCCAAGAGAAAATTTGTATGACTTACATGTAATTCTCTCGTGAGTTTGGGTGTAATTTGTAATTGTCTCTGTGTGTGTGTCCATGGCACCCATAATACAGTGTCTCCCTAGTTTGGGCTATGAGTGTGTACATTATTTTCAGTTCCGAAAAGACTGCATCGCAGATGTGGATACCAGGCCAGCTTATCAAAACTTGAGGCAGCGAGTTGAGAGCTCCGTTGCTTCCTTCCTTGCTCGGCAAACATGGAAGCCAGACCTTAACAAAAATCAGCTTCGAGAGAAGCTTCGGAAACATTTACTTGAGTAAGTTCATTAAAAATACATTGATTTTAAATCATGTCATAGTACAGGAAAAGCCAACTCCTTAAAAGTTGTCACATGTTAAGAAGTTTAGTTTAATTACCATCAAGTGATCTTTTAAACCAGTGGGTTGGACATTTATGTCATTCAAATGCACATTTACATGATCTAGCACCAATGACTTATCTGTAATATCCTGTTTGCTCACCTACTACTACTCCTGAACGTACATGGTTCTTGTTTAAGAAAATTGAAGACCACAGTCCAACAATCAGACCTACATGTCTTCAAAAACTTATGAGAACATTCCTTCACAAGCACATTTAGTCTCAATCTTTCCTTTCATTGTTCAAGCAAAGTGAAATACAGTGCTCATGATTGCATAAGACTTTGGATGCAGGCTCCTCAATAAATACTAAGTCCAGAAACTCTTACATAGGATGCAAGCATTCTCGTGGACTGGGCTCTCATGTTTATTGCTATGTTTTTTCACTATTGTCCTTGAACTTATAAGTGTTAAACTCATATTTCCAATCACAATTTCCAGTGCTAACTACTTGGAACAAGGAGTGGAAAGAATAGTTGATCAAGTTGTAAATCCTAAAGTGGCTTCAGTCTTCATACCTCAAGTAGAAGACCTTGTGTACAACTACTTAGGTATTCCAAGAAAGAAACCAGCAGAAACTGCTGAAACTTCCAATGGAAAAGTCGTGGATCTGTTACCAACAGATTTGGAGGCTGTCAGCCCGGGTTCAGTTAAAAGTAATGATGATAAAAGTGAAGCAATGGACATTTCTGTTACAAAAGACGAAAAAATGGAAATTGATAACCAAACTATAGAAGTCAGAGATGATTCAACAATATTTGAAACTATTGGCAAAGAAAAAGAAGAATCAAGACTATCAGGAATCAGTGAATTGACTATACACGATTCTGACTCTGCCAGTATTGATAAAAGTACTATACCATTACCAGCTGAAGAAATTAAATTGGAAAATATACCTGCTCCGGAATGCAGCCCGCCGAATATTAAAAATAAAAAAATTGATCTTGAAAAGATAGATTTACCAAAAGAACCTAATTTGTCTACAGACATACCACTGCCAGATGAAATGCCTAAAGTAGAAAAAGAACTGTTATTTAACCCATTAACGTTAAACAGTGAAGATGATGACGATTCCAGTTCCGATTCGTCGTTACGTAGAAACATGTCGCCTTTGACTCCAATAAGAAACTTTGACAACGAAAATTCATGTGATGCACAACAAGGTTTTGACAATGATTCAGATAGTAAAATGGATGAGAAGAAAGAACCCACTACTTTCAGATTTACTATAGAAAAGTCAGATGCTAGCAATGATGCTTTAAAAGTAGAGAAGAAAGAAACTGAACCCATTTCTAACCAAACTGAAGTGTACCAATTCAGTAACCAAATAGATGCGCATACATTTAATACACCACTTTATGACGACAGTTCAAATAGTCATAACTTGCAAATAGATTATGAAAGTGATGCTAATAGTAAAACTGTTACAGATATAAAACTTCCTGAAGCAGATCAGAATTCTGGAGATTCAAACAAGAAAGAGAAGAAAGAAGAAAAACGGAGTAGTCATAAGAGTTCGCACAGATCTAGAGATTCATCTAAGCATTCTAGCAGCAAAGATAAGAAATTTGATCCAAAACATTCGAACTCTAGAGACAGTAGTAGACAGTCCAAGGATGACAAAAAATTTAAAGATGATAAATCTAAGTCTAGCCACAAAGAAAGATCAAGTGATAGAACAGAAAAAAAAGATAGTAGAGATTCGTCTAAACAGAGAATTTCGAGCTCGCACAAAAGTTCGAATTCTAAAGATAAAGATTCAAAGCATGGAACCTCGAGATCTAGCAAACATTCGAGTAGTAGTAAACACGATGATAAAAAGTCATCATCGAGTAAAGAAAAAGAAAAGTCAGATAAATCGTCTGACAGGAGCTCGAAAGATAAAAAAGATTCGAAAGATAGAGATTCAAAATCAAGTTCTCATCGTTCAGATAAAGATAAAAAGAGCAGCAGTAAAAGTAAAGATGACAGAGATAAAGAGAACAAAGAAAGAAAAGAAAAGAAATCAGCTGATGACCATTACAGTCTTTCAGGGAGGGGAAATCCAAATCGTAGGTCTACTGACAGAGATTCAAATGATGGTAGTTCATCTTCAAAAGGATCTCACAATCCATCCAATAATAAATCCTCGGAAAGTAGGAATGACAATAAAGGAAATTCCAAATCTGGTAATACATCATCTAGTGGAGATTCAACAAGTCCTAGTGATAGTGTAGGAGTTATGGAAGCTAAACCCATATCACAGAATAAGGCTATAAGAGTTGATAGTCATTTGGAAGTGCCAGTATCTACACCAGCTAGATTACCTTTCGTGCCCGACGTAACTCTTAAAAAACCGAAATTTGCCGCTAATTTGGAAGAAGCAAAAAAAATGATTAAGATGAGGAAGTTCTTAGAAGAAGAGCAGAAAAGAATGAATCAAGAAGCTGCTTTACTTCTTGAGTTTCAGGCGAATGTTAGACCGAGTCTTAGTCAAGTGTACTCCAGTGTACCTGGACCAGAACTGGAATTTGCTTGTGTCTCTAATACTGTGCAACCTACCCATACTCAAGTACTTATTTTAGAGGATAACACATCACAAAATGTTATCCAAGATAATAATATAGGAGAAATAATAACTGAGAATGAAAATATGGAGGGAAACGCTAAAGTAGAAATTGACGAACGACACGATGCAATAGCTGAAACTCTTTTTGCAATGCACCAGGATGGAAATACTAAAATGTCTGAATATCAAGATGGTGACTCGCAAGATAATGTGGTAAAAGACGAATTTGTAGAACAGAGCAATGAAGCCGTAATTGAAACTTTGTCTAAAGGGGGAATTAAATGTGAAGACAAAATTACCATTACAGTACCTGAAAGTGATTGTGCTATTAGAGGTGAATATAAAGAAACAAGTACATTACAAGAAAAGAGATTAAAAGAATTTGAAGCTCAAGAGACACATAAAAAACACGAAGACTCGTCAGATGTCGAATGTATTACAGCTATAGAAGTTTCTGATAATAAAGAAACAGAAATCCATCGAATTATTCAACAAGAATTGAAGTACTTTGCGGATCACGAAAAATTCACAGCAGAAATTGAAAGAGACAAGTTCAACAAGTTCTACCTGCAATTTAAAGCTCAATTCACAAATAAAATGTATTTAGTAAATTGTGATACTTATGAAGAAAATATTGTAAGGGAAGTAGCAAAGAATTTCGGAGAGTTTGAAATAATTAATTATATTAAAAATGGACACTTGAAGTTACCCAAAGGCGGCAGAAACATTATCAAAAATGTTAATTTAGCTAATGAAATAACGTTACCCACTAACACAGATGAATTTGAAGATCGTTCACCAGTGTTCAGTCCAGTTAGATCTGAATGTTCTTTTGAATTATCCAGTGACTATGATGCTAAATTAGAAGAAATGGTGATTAAAACATCCAGGCAGGAAATAATGGAGATTATACTTGGTAGTGCTGTTGAAGACTCAACTACAAAGTTACCAGAGATAAACTATTGTATGGATTCCAATATAGAAAGTGAGGATACTTTGAAGAGGAAATTCAGCGAGGTGGAGAGCAGTGTTAATAATAATATGCAAGTGCTGACACCTAATAAGCAAAGGAAGTTGAGCGAAACTGATCAGATCTCGTCTACCACAGAAGGTAAGATTTACGAACATTTTATTTAACAATTACAATTTTAGTCTTGTACAAAACTTGAAACCAAAGAATTCTTTGGAACAAGATATAGATAGAAGTTACTTTTCGGTCACTTTTTGAAAAATGCTTAGTTTAATGTTTTTGTTTTGTAGAAAACACTGAAACCTCAAACAACAACAATACAAGGTCCAAATTTTTGGGAAAAGCACGCAGAGTTGGATTGCCACGACCTAAGAGAAGTAGTAAGTAGTGTTATTATGCAGAATATCCTGTAAATAATGAATCATATTTAATTAAGACATACGAAAACGCTAGTTTCTATTCCAATAAGCTATATTTTTAATAAAATTTCAACTAGCATGTAAGATCACGTCGTTTGTGAAGAATACATTCACTTTAAGGTCAAATTTTCTGCTCTAATCCAAATCAGTAATAATCCTCATAATACTTCTTGAAATATTAACTACCCACTAGCAAGTGAAAGCATCTTCCTTAGCTTGCCGTTCTCTGCGGTTTTGGATTTTAGATATTCAATAACTTCCTGCTACTCGTAACCAAATCATCCAGATGCTTTATCTATTTCTAGGTCTCCAGTACATGTGTTTTCTATTTTTTTTTTTGCACTATTTCTATAGAGAACGCTTGCCGTATCTAAGTCTATTTAACGTGTTTACTAAATAAAATGAAGAGTAAAAGTATCAAAAACTTAGTTAATAAGGAATCTTATTTACCTATATCTCGTCTACTTTCAGCTCTACCAAATAGCCCATCAAGCGATAAGTCAGTGGAAAATTACGAGCAAAACGCCCCTACCCCGAACGGCAAACTCAAAACTACACCGCGCACTAAAGTGCAACGGTACGATACCTCCGATTTGTATAAACCGAAGCTACATTATTTGTCTAGAAGGAATAATATTAGTTAGACTCAGAGATGGGCAGTGGGTTAAAACCCAATCAACCCGCCCGGGATATTCCCAAAGCGCCGTGTTTTAGCCCATTTCTGCCCAGAATCGTAGGCGGAAACATAATACGCATAAATTAATACTGAATTGGTATAATTCCATACTCATTAGAAATTTCCATGTAAAACTACATTTTTTGGGCGTAAAAGAAGAAACTCCACACAATAACCACTTGCAATCCTGTAAACTCTCACTTACTAAGGACGCACATTACGATTTGATTTTTATGAAAATCGATTCGAGTGTATACGATAACGAGTTATTGTATCGATTCATTTCAATGCGATTTTCGAGCGAATTCATTCAATTGAAAGGCAAAATATGTAAGAAAAATAATTAAACATTTTGTAAAAAATATCATTACATTTTAATGAAACTCGATTTATAAATATTTAATAGTAAGTACTTTATGCTCCGATTTATGGCGTTAATGGGTTTTAACCCGATTAAAACCGCCGTTAATAAAACCCGAACGCTTGCCCATCTCTGTTTAGACTAAATTTTGAATTTTTGAACACAGCTCAATCTCTAATAACAAATGATGAATGTGGGTAACTTACAATTTTGAGAACATAAAGTTATCTATTATGATTCAAATTATATTTATTGTCAATATTGTAAGTTACCGCAACTCTACGTTGTAGCGGTTGAACATATGATCTTATTACTAGTTTCAGAAGTGTTAAATTCGCGTTGCACATGGTCCACGTAGGTGGACATAGGTGAACCACGGGAAGCAATAATTGCCTGTGATCCACCGAGGTGAACCAGTCAGGTGATCCACGGGAAGCAATAATTGTCCCTGGTCCACCGAGGTGAACCAGTCACGTGAACCACAGGCAAGAAGCGCAATAACGCTTCATATATGGAATAATAATCTATATCAGTTTTTTACTATTATTTTATTAAAAATAATAAATTATTGTGGCCCTACTACGAAGTTACTATGTTAATATAGAAAGTAGATATTAAATTAATGATTTCATTTTGTTAAAACTTAGTTTTTCAAGTTCTGGAATTGTTTCCTTAAAAATCATTTTTAACTACTTCACAAAAAGAAGCTTCTTATCCGACTGTATTTTTTGTGTACGTTACGAGATACTTCGACATTTGCCAACCGATTTGATGATTCTTTTTTTGTTAGAAAGGGGGTATCTCAGTAGTGATCCCATTTAAGTTTGAAGAAAATATTCCATCTCTAAGGAAGGCAAATTAAGGAATGAATCAGGTTTATTGGATTACACTCACTGTCAGTTAATCAAATTTAATAAAACTTAGATTACAAATAAATGTAATTCCACACACTTTTAAGGTCGGTTTTTTTTTCATAAAAAAAGTTAAAATTTACAATATTTTCATGTAGGTAAAATGTCGAGAGAAAATATATGTCAAATTGTATTCAGTTGAAAATACCCTTTCATGTTTGTTTCCACTGACGCTGAGTCAAGGCAATGCATGTAAGTACGATCCAAATTTGAAAGTAAGTGGGCAGACTTCAGTAAGAGCAAATCTTATTTATCTGTGAAAGTATAGTTAATTAATATTAAAATATATTAAAATTGTCTATATTTTGTCCTTACAGGTATATAAAATAAAACACACTATTTGAACATTTTTCTTTAATTTAAGTGTTATTATTATAGTTATAGTAATCGTGCATATAATATTAATTTAATGAAAGAGAAAAAAAGGCGCATTCGTCAAGAACTTGCGTCTAAAAATATTCCTAAAATTTTTTTGGCTCCTCGCGGATAAAATTTGATCCAACGATCATATTTTTTTCATTTTACGTTCGATTGAGCTTAAAAGATTGTAAACATTATGAAAAAACTTAGATTTATCCAGGTTGTGAATGTCAAATGATACTCTACCACCTTTGCAGGGTACAAAGTAAGTTGCCAGTCATTGCGTAACGGAGAAAGACTTATGGCTCGATTGACAACGTGCAAATTAGATACGAGCCAAAAAACAGGTTAGGGAAAATTTTCGCGCATGCTCGAAAATTTCTCGTGAATTTCCGCAGCTGCCGTCTGTGACGCCTGCAGAATCCAGAGGTAGTGGTGTGAAGGCTAGCGCAGTGCAACACGTCAGGTGTCTTCTAAATAAGTTGTGTACGCGAACCAGAAAAAACTATTCAGATGAGAAGCTGATCTATTTGGTGCAAAAATATGATTGTACAATGTAAAAGCTTGCAACTACAGCGACAAAAAAATGTAAGAATAATGCATGGGAACAAGTCATAAAAAGTAGGTAGATGGAGACGGAAATCATTGCAAAAGTTTCGTATTGTCTTGAAAGTTTTTGATAAATCTGTACTTATTCCATTTCTCCTGGTTCACAAATAAAGTAAATAAAAATAATATCCAAGTCCATCATCTACAACTGCACACCTACTAAAGCCTCGAGGCGTAGTCACGGGTATTTTCGAGAATGCTCGAACAACCCCACGACCCCCCGCGCCTCCGCGCGCGCAGCAAGGCGAATTGCTTTCCTTCCGCCGCCGCCGGTGTAAATTGAGCCTAATTGTCAATAGGTACCCTTCTTACAGAAGGTAAATTGTTGTTTTTCCGTTTTCTTTCAACTTTTTCAACTATGCGTATAGGTATATACTGATTGTGTAATATAATTTTATAATTATGTAAATATGATAAGCAGAGCCTGTTTTACTGCATGTACCAATATAAATAATATGTACTTATGTATTTACAGAGTTTTTAAATAAAGTATGACTGAATTGTCATTTATATGTTTTTATTTATATTTGTGTTAGTTTAAATGATTTATATAACACTTATGTACAGTAAAAGAGAAACATATAGATGGAAGCAAAGCAGAGTCAATAAATGCTGGACTATTTTTATATTAGTTGAACGAAACTTATCAATAATGAACCTAATTTTGTGTGCTACACCTCTACATACAGTTAACTAACTTCGCAAAAAAAAATTAAGCAAAAACTCAAGCAATTCTGTATGGAAATCAAGAAAGTTCTGTGTAAATTTAGAAATCTGCAATCACATTCTCAAAACGGACATAGGCATTGACCTTTTCAAAATTAGATAAGATCATAACGCAAATTCCTTAGCTGGTAAGAACCTAGGAAATACATGACTTCTTGAAAAAAGCAAAAATGTCTAGTAACTGCCCAGTACCTAATGTATTGGCAGGACCCTTGGTAGAAATGAACAATGTTGACTTGACAAAGTTCAGGATACCTACTTGATGCTGAAGAAGCGTCAAAGGGCGTACACGACGTTTGTGGAGGCATGGTCTCCACTCAAGAACTTGCTTCTCTCATCGGTTACCAGTTCTTCGACGAATATGGCATGCTCACTGTCACTTCAACTTATTTATTGCCCCAGCTATGTCATTTCATTTCGAATCTTATTCTTCAAAGAAGCATAAAGCTATCCGTATTGTGAGTGTCCACTTTGGCAGATGGAGTGACGATCATCGAAACGTTGCTGGCAACAGGTGGATGCCACAATCTGAGGACCGGGCGATATGGTGCATATTGGGAGAGACCTATGTCAGCAGTGGACTGCAATAGACTGATTTTTTTAATGACACCAAGTGATACATAGATCGAACGAACAAGCCCGACTTGTGGTAAGCGACACGCCTGTTCATAACACATGCAGTGGAACTTTAAATCACAAAGAGGGGCACAGCCACTGCTGTGCCCTGGGACATAAGTTGGCAAGTCCCATGTGCCTGTAATTTCATCAGCACCTTTACTCTTCAAAACAGGAATACAGTAATGCTTACATTACTGCTTGGTAGCAGTACTTCCCTGGATAAACTCTTTCACAAGGGGCTCTACTGCTACTAAATGATGATAATGAAGAAGCGCAATGGAAACCTTGACTCCAAACCCGATTAAAACTGTAGCACAGATCTGTTTATGATTCATAATCTGCATGTTAAAGGAGTCAATTAATTTCTTAAAGTAATCCTGTATAAAATAAAAAGTCACGGTATGTAATGAAATTAATCATTAAATTTTTATTAACCATAAAAACAAAATCTACACTTCTTACATTTCAATTGGATGAGATATGAAATGCTAATGAAAAATAAATACACCATTTGGCATGCTTATGTGTTACCACTGATTATAGTTACTTCACATTATGTTAAATGGTAATAAATTAATTCATTTGACATTCACTAATTAATTACATGATCAATAAATACAATGTAGATCTGTGGTGCAAGACAAAAATCAAATAATACTTTTTAATTTTATTATAGAGAAAATAAATTTAAATTAATAAAAAATTTTGGCTATTGTTTTTGAAATTACCTTTTGAAAATGATAACTTTTATGTAAATACAAGTAAAATCTTTACCATGAAGGTATCAATAACAAATAATTTGACATAAAGAAAATTTGGTGTCACTAGCATGCATAAAAAAAATTTTCTATTAAAATAATGTACATTTTGTACATTTTATACCATAATATTCGTATTAGCCAGGTTATCACTTCAATCTTAATTTAACCCTACGTTGTAAGTACAAATTGTCTAGCAATGCCATGTTTAATTTGTTGCTGCCTTTTGTAAGCCTGCCGGGTCCATAATCGGTGGCTGTTTCTTCACCAAACCAGATAACAATGTTTTGATTTGAGCAATTGCACGCCCGGGATTTAAGCCTTTAGGACAAGTACGTGTGCAGTTCATGATTGTATGGCAACGGTATACAGAATACGTGTCCTTGAGTTTAGATAAACGTTTCTCTGTTGCATCATCACGAGAATCGATAATCCATCTGTATGCTTGCATTAGTACAGCCGGGCCCAGATATTTGTCTCCGTTCCACCAGTAAGACGGACAGCTTGTAGAGCAACAAGCACAAAGTACACATTCATACAAACCATCAAGTTTGTTACGGTCTTCAACATCTTGAAGTAATTGAACTTCCTTGCCTTTAACAGCTTCCTTCTCACGCTGAAGCCAGGGTTCAATAGACTGGTACTGACGGTAGAAATTGCTAAGATCAGGAACTAAGTCCTTAACAACATACATATGAGGCAAAGGGTAGATCTTAGAAGGCTTCGAAAGATTCTGGTCAATATGGCTGATGCACGCAAGAGTGTTCGTGCCGTCGATGTTCATTGCGCAGGAGCCACATACACCCTCACGGCAGGATCTCCTGAAGGTCAGAGTGGGGTCCATTTCGTTTTTAATCTTCAACAGTGCGTCCAACACCATAGGTGCGCAATCATCCAAATCGACTTGAAAATTTTGGGTATATGGCTTCTTATCCGGCTCATCTGGGTTCCAGCGATACACCGCGAAGGTCTTCACTCTCTTGCTGAGCGCCGGTGACGTAGCGAAGGTGCGTATTTGGCCAAAAGTGCCAGACGTTAATCGCAACAACGGCATTATGTAATGTTTTTATTTACGCCACACAAACAAAGCTTGTATATTCCCTTGATGCACACAAAGTTGGCAGCGCAATGTAAGCCCTCCAACAACCGATTGAGTCGATAGGTTTCGAAATAATTCAACAATTCCGTAAAGAGCAACTGTTCTGCAGTTGGCTCTCACTTCTTGTTTTTGACATGAATGGTTGTTGTAAAAGAAGTGAATGAAATGATTGTACTGTATATTTAAATGTTACTATTGTAAAAAATATATTATTCATAGTGCACAGAAATAGATTAAAAAGAGATACAGCATATTAATAAATATGTATAAAGTTATCTCGTTCTTCATTTTTAAAAAAGCAATTACCCCTTTTTAAAGCGCAAATTACGCGGGAAATTTGACGGCTGACAATTCCATTTAGAGGATGGAAAAAAATAAACTAAGGACAATACGAACATGACACTTGCCAATTGCCACCAGACGTAAACGTAAACAAATTTCGAAAGTCGAGAGGTAATTTCCTTATATATTATCTGATTGGAGTTTTCTTGAAAAATGAAGAATGTAGCTTTGTTACAGTCCACCAAGACCGAGTCCCCGAAAACTCCTGGTGGTATAAGTAAGTCGTTATTGACTCCTTGTAGACGAGTTGGTCTGTCCCGTAATTGGAAAAAAGCTGGATCTTCTCCATTCATATCTCCGGTACATGGTAGTACACAAAATAACTTTGAAGTTAAAGATGAAAAGAAGTACACCAGAAAGCGTAAAGAACCTGCCACTGAAAACGAAAATGAGGATTTGCAGGAAGAGACACTTGGTACTACAATTGAAAGTGTTTTAAATGCAGACGAAAGCGGTATTACTGTGTCTTCAACGGTACCTCGCGATATAGATAGCACTCCAACTCGACGTGTTGCGCTGCCACGTAAAAAGAAGTCAAAATTGCTAGCTGATAAGGATAAAAAAAGTAATTGTAAGTCACCTCTGAAGGAAGTACAGAGTAGTCTAGAAAAACCAAAAGAAACTGACTGTGCAGAACACAGGAAAGATATAGTTAAACCGATAATAGACACTCTGTCTACTACTTGTCCAACATCTTCGAGTATACCCAAAACATGTACATCAACTAAAGACATTGAAGTTAAAGAAAATATAGATACTTTAAAGTGTAATAATAAAAAAGAAACTATGAATCAGAATTGTCCAATTAATTTAACTAAAGAATGTGTTGTTGTAATACAGAAAAAAATATTTAAAACTGAAGGTAAAGATTTACAGACTACCCAAAAGGAAGGCATGGATATAAATCATTTAGATTGTATTAATAAAACAGTTAATACTAAATATGATAAAACAGTGTCGCAAACTCTGTCTGATTCTGATTCAGACGATGCTCCATTATGTAATTTGAATATAAAAGAAACTGAAAATGGAAAACCAAATTTAGAACGTCAAAAACAACCTGAAATAATAAATTTAATTGAAGATGATGATTTTACTGGAACTAAAATAGTTAAAGTTGCAAAACTAGTTGATAAGAATACTTCTACAGGTGGACTAAGGTCAGGTAAAGTTCGAAAACAGAAAGTACCCAAACCTGTGCAAAAGATAATAAAAACAACAATGGATTCCAAAACAGCATCACAAAATTCATTTGAAGATGATGATGATGATTTTGAATTTGAAGCAAAAAGGACAATTCTTATTCATAAAACTTATGATAAGGTTTCAAAACCTGTTAAAGCTAAAACTACTGGATCGATTACTCAGAAGGACATAGACGACCTAAAAGCACGCATTGAAATAAAAAAAAAGGTATTATTAGCTAAAGCAATGACTGAGGAAACAAGGGAATTGAGAGATTTAATAAAAAAATGGCAGAAAGGATGTCAAGACGCTCTTGCCGAATTAATGGACTTAATGAAAACAAAGTGTCCTGATAAAAAACACATGGATTATTCAGAGATTCTGCAAATGTTAAAAATTCCATCAAACCTAGTTGGCTACAATGCTGAGGACGATTGTTTTAATACTCCTGATGATGCCAGTATTGTTTTGTCTAAATTTAATGATATATGAATTGTATATCTAACTCGTAATTAAATTTCACTATATTTAAAGATTTTTATTTTTAATGCCAAGCAGTTACTATTCTTATTACGCATTGTCACTAATGTTTACTGTAATCTAATCTTAGTATTTGGAATAGTTGGGTATAAGACTTGTTCAGACCTAGAATTTTTTTGTTTTATTGATTTGTTCATAATCAGGGTATTAACCATTTAATAGCATGTATGAAACCCTACATTAAAGCAACAGTGGACCATGTTTACTCATCTTTCACTGCAGACAAAAACGCATAGTAATAGAACTTATTCTTTATTAATTAAACAACTACATTATTCAATACTACATTCATTAAAATCTATGTGACCTAATAGGATTCTCGGGGTCAAATAGCTTAGGATCTTTCAGAAATGCTTTGTCTTTGTAATAGTAAGGTATGAAGCCGCAATTCTGGGCCTTGACGATTTCACACTCAACTTGTGCCTGCTTTGCTTTACATAGACCTGTTATGTGTCTTCCATATATGCGACCAGTGTATGGACTTTGGAATTGAGATAAAAGTCTATAGTTTTTGTAGTCAGGTGTAATATTATGTTTGCACAATATGCATACTCGAGTTTCTTTTTTATACGGGTTTTCTATATGAACTGGGGCGTCATTTTCTGGATTTTTTGCATCGGTAGAACACGGTCTAAAGCTGGAAATCACGGCTCGATGTGCATTGACAACTGAAATTTAAAAAATATGTATTAAGTATTTATTAAAATCGTGTAAGTAATTAAATTATTGTTTCCGAATTGAGAAGTACCTAAAATATGCGATGTTTTATTCAATTAGTATAAATCAATACTTACATATTTGACGAGATAAAATAGTTTTTAACAAGGCCATAGTAAAATATCTCAAATATTTAGGATGAAAACTAGGTAATTCAAATTATTTATGGTTAATTTATTATAGGTATTTTTAGGAAAACAACCTCAAAACAATTGTGGAAGAAATGACAGCTGCGTTTCGTTTCAACATGTGGATACATGCTAACGGGTGTGGCGTAACTAAATGTAAACTTTGTGATTTTACGCTCAAGATGCACTCAAGTTATTTTATTAATCAATTATTATTATCGAGTTCTTAGGTTTTCGCGATTGTTATACATAGGAAATGAAACTATTTTTCCGGATTTAAATCGCGTATATTTGTTTTTTCAAACAAACCCGTCACAATCCTAGCCAGTTAGCTACCGTAGGCAAATCTTTGTTTCAGAAAGCACATGGTGTCTGCGACAGTAATCATCTGACAGGGGAACTTCAGCATATAAAGCAAGTCCTGCATGCGAATAAGTAGAAGATTCCACGCCAATGCCGCAGGCCCTGTGTGAAACCACCAACAGTCGAGCGAAGACCTGCCATTTTACCTTACGTGAGAGGTGTTACAGACAAGATCGGAAGAGTACTCAGGTGTGCATCTATCAAGACCTATTTCAAGCCCATGAGGAAGATTTCTCAGTATCTGAGACCCGTGAAACGTAACATCCCCTTACAGGATGCAGGAATTTCCAAGCTTGACTGTGAGTGCGGTCTCTCTTATATTGGACAAACGAAGCGAAGTATTTGTACATGTAGCTGATGTTAAACACTGTCGCGTAAACAAGTCTGCAGTCTGCGAGCATGTCATGCATAAACCTACACATTCAATGAAGTTTGACAAACTCCAGGTCCTTGCAAAAGAAGTCCGTTATCTACCTAGGATGCTGCGAGAAGTCATTGAAATTAAAAAACATCCTAATTTCAACAGGGAAGATGGTTTCTCCGTACCACCAGATTGGAATCCAGTATTTCCTCTGATGAAAAATCCCAAACAGACATAAGACTGCAGTACTGATTAATATGTTTTAATTTATTCTAATTTCTATTATTAATTAATAATAAATAGAACTTAATAAAATTAATTCAATAAAATAATTAGTAAAACTTAATGTAGCGTAAATTGGAATGTTTTGGTGAAATCAAATATACGCGATTTAAATCCGGAAAAATAGTTACAATTATTATTAAAATAAGGCCAAAAAATTTGCAATGCCTTTTTTCGCGTCTCATTTTTTCTTCAGTTTTTCTTAAGCTATTAAGGATAAGGTCGCATATGTAGAATAAAACATATTATTCTTTTAGAATAATTTATAAAATAAATTTATTACATTAATAAAGTACAAAAAAAAGTTGTAGTGTAAGTTACAAATAAAAACTTTTTTGTTTATAAAATAAAAAATAATACTAAAAAAGTACCTACCTAGCACGCCTCAAATCACCTCACCTCAAAACACTTTTTTTGGTTTACACTCATCTATGCTGTTGAAACAAATCTTACAATAACAATACTTGTTCAAGTGCGGATGTGTATTCATAACGCACTTCGGTTCTTGACCATAAGCGTTAACTCTAGATATAAGTTGTTCCGATATAAGAATTTCATCCAAATGCCTTAAATAAGTGATTGTGCTCTCATATGCCGCATACATTGGACTCATCACTATCTTGACTTGATAGAATTCAATAGAAGGTGTGACGGATTCGCGAAATACTGGAACGTAATTCTCTGTATTGACATCTATGAACTTGAGTACTTGATCGTTCACATTTTCACGTTTCACCCATTCAATGGATATAAGACTACGGGTCGCACATTTATCGTTGTCAGCTATTAGTTTGTTAATAAATTTTGCCAGTGCTATTGCAACTTGCTCGTAAATTTTGTCACCGGGAGACACATCTGTCCAGTTCAAGCACACGCACCAATGTGTAAGAACATCAGCTTCTGAACAAGATCTTGACTTTGGTATAGGTTTCAGTAGACTCATGCCTCTTGGCAAATCAGAACCAGACACAGTGTAATTATTAATTAGATGCTTCAATCCCACAACGTCTAGGATGGTCGTGTGAATGTCAAACGGTGTTGTGAGAACGTCCACGTTGGCTCTCAAGAATGTCTCAGCATCGGGTCGGGCTCTCTTCAGTTTATTTGGTAAAACTATTGACATGAACGGCAGACGCTCTTCAATCTTTCCTTGATATGTCCTTCTTAAAGGGGTAAACCTGGACCCATGATCTGACATAACAATGAATAGTGTATTTTCTAAAATTCCGCTCGCTTTGAAGGTTTTCAAGAGCTTGGATAGGTCGTTTGCCACTGAGGAGAATAATGTTGGCTCTTCGTGGGCTATGTCAGAAATCACTGCAAAGCCGAATCGTTTACCGTCTCGCATAATAAAATTACTCGTAAGATTCATCAAAAAACGAAATGTCGGTGTAGCACCAATACAAAAGAAATTCTCTTGTTCTGTCAGCTTAATTTTAAAATCTTCCAAAAAGAAAGACCTGAGGTAATGATCTGCCGGTTGGTACCTAAAACCATTAAGGCGATTTGTAAATGTACCTACTTTAGGCAAATCTTCGAAATACGCTGTATGATAACCGTCTTTGTGCAGTTGACCAAATAAAAAATCCATTGGATTGAGATGTTTGGGAAAGAAATTATTTAGTTTCCTCCGTACATCTGGAAATTCCAGTTCAGTTTTCCCTGTAAGAATAGGGAACAGAGCGGCTAGTGTACCGTCTCCAACTACATTGTAATTGTTAAATACAACGGCACCAAGCTCTTCAGTCAGAATTTTGTAAGCTTGGGGTACACTGCGCAGGAAATGATTGTGCGAGACGGAATCAAATGTCAATATGAGAACGTTTACTGAATCTTCTCGTCCAGGTGGAACAGAAACTGAGACGGGACGGAAACCAGCTTTAAGACCACTCCATGTTGGAATCTGAAAGCGATTAGGATTCCGATTGTTTGCGAGGCAAGTCACTTTAACATGATCGGACTTAGTGAAGTTAAACCTTTGTTGAGCTCTTAATTTGATAGGACTGTCAAGGTAGTAGTAGTCATCGTTAATATAAATAATATCTCTGTACTCGCACTCTATATATGGCACTTCATCTAATACATCCTTGACGACAAAGCATTGGTCACCATCACAAGTGACCCAGTCTTTTTCATTGCAAGTTACGGGAACCATTTCATCCATGAAACGCATTACTTCTTTAGCGAACGGATCTGTCTTGGGCATGTTGCAACCTGTACCTTTTTCTTTCTCTATCCGGGATAGAATATTGAGTTTGTGTATTATCATTGCATTTGTTCTTTCCCTATCATATTTATATGTATTAATTAGTTCTCGCACGTAATGGAACAACAGAAAGAGCAAAAATAAAACTATTACCAAATTTCTGCGTGATCTAATAATTTTTATAAAAATAATATGGAGTAAGCTCAATAAAAAATAATACATTTTTGGTCTCATCGTTACACATCGAGTATTTAACAACTTAGTAATAATACCAGCACAAAGTAGGTACTTCTAGTAGTCCGAAAAAAACAATCAAAATAAGAAAATGTTATACACTATAACATAAATACAGTAAAAACCATACAAAAATAGAATTTACACTTTTTGTAAACAGTAAATCAAATAATAAACTAAAATAAAGAGTCAATATCGACCTCTCAAAATTCTTGCAATAAAAAAAGAAAAAGAAAACGTTGTACAGAATGTTCATAGACATGTATAGTATGCTACGGTCTTCTTCTTTTTATACTTTTTGGCTTCTCGCATAGAAGATTTCGTTAATCGTTTATTAGTTCAAGTAATAAAACAACAAAAAATCGTTAGACCTCCATCCAACTAATAATCATCATCATCAACCCTGTATCGCGGGTGCCATGGACACACTCATAGACAAGCACAAATTACACCCAAACTCTCGAGATCAATAAAGATGTAAACCAAACAAATATTCAAGCAAACATCCAATCCGACTCGGTCGGGCAGATTTCGGGAAGCTCTGAGACGTTTTCTCGTCTGCAATACCGCAGTCCTTGAAGACAAATAGAATAGAATTATTTATTTCGGACCATGATCCATAATAATGTTAGTAATACAGTAAATTTTACTTACGTGCTATGGTTAGTACAATACAAAATTACTTAATTTTAGTGAGAAGTGAGTCTAGACCACTACCCTACGCACGTGTAGTTGCACCCAATGTAGTTGGTAGGGGCAGTCCAGCCTATTGGCAACAACAACGGTTAGGATGCTATTAGCGCTGCCGCGTACACGCATCATAAGTGAGGCAGCCTTCTTGCGCATAATGGCATGAAAGCCATCTGTGTGCGCCTCCGTGAACATGCCGGATGCACTACAGTGTCGCGGCAGCCCCATCAGCATACTAAAAGCGTTGTTATATCACTGACAAAGCTCAAAGGGTTAGCAAGTTGAAGTGATAGTGGGCAGGGCACATAGTCGTAGAACTGACGGCCGTTAGGGCAGTAAGGTTTTTGAATGGAGACCACGAACCGGAAGGCGTTCAGTGGGACGGCCCCCTACTATATGGACGGATGACCTGGTAAGGGCGACGGGTAACCGATAGATGCACGTCGTGTCCGACAGGCTAATCTGGCAATCTTTTGGTGAGGCCTATGTTTAGCAGCGGACGTCTACCGGCTGATGTGACGAGTGAGAATCAAGAACATTGAAACAACAATAAACATTGAAATATGCGATTCAGGTACATAAACCTGAACCGTGTATGCCTGTACCGTACCAAGTAACCTCTACCATGCTTACTATCATAGCAACTACATAGAAGCTAGCGCCACAATTTTTCGTATTTTTTTCCCTTTCCATTTTGGTTTTTATCATACGTTTGTTAACTTTCATTCATTATTATAAGTTTGTTACAGAAATAGCTCCGTATTATATCTCACCACCACGTTCAGATCGAAATGAGCAATAGATATATTGGGTACGAAGGAACGTTGTATTTCTTTAAACATTTGAATAATTTGTTATGTTTGAGCGGAAAATATCCAAAGTCAATGCCTAAGCTACGATGCCGAATCTGATTATGAGATTGAGATTCACCCGTATTTGATCAAGTATTGTTATTGTAAATGCGAACTTAGTGGACTTAGTGGACTTATAGTCCATTTTTTTGGGTACTTAACTATTTTTACTTACCTACAAATACAAAATACAAATACTTAACTTCATATGAAATTACATGCCTATTTTTATACCCATTGATTTGCAAAGTAAATGTTTCAATAATTTCAGTACAGAGTACTAAAAAAACCGACCTCAAAAGTACGTGGGATTACATGTAATTACCAAGTTTTATTGAAATCGGTTACCGGAAAGTGCGCAAACCCGGATTCAGCCCCTAGTTCGCCACTATACGGGACTTGACACAGGAGATAATAAAAATCGGTTCTCACTACTCAAATTATATTGAGAGAAAAACGCCTTGAATTGGAGAATAGCAAAATAAACCATTAAAATAATTGTTCCTTGTAATAAAATTTAGGCGCTATTTATAAAAATAAATCTTCATGCGTGAACAGCCACCCTTAGAATTGGATGATTTTTTTCAAAATTAAATGAGACCACTATGGAGGTACCCTCTTTCTAACAAAAAAAGAGTCATCGCCTAACAAACATACAAAAAAAACGTACAGTCGAATTGAGAACCTCCTCCTTTTTTGAAGTCGGTTAATAAAAACATGTATCAAGATTGTTTACATTTAGTTAAGTACCTAAACAAATGGACTATAGCTTAAATTGTTAAAGTCTTTTAAAGTTCTCAAAAGCGTCTTGTAAAATATTACAAAAAAGAAGTTCAATTATTAGTGAATATATTAAAAAGCTTTTTAAACACACTTATGTTAAAAGGATGTCGTTATTGTTTAATTTGTTTACTTAATTAGACAGAGTTCTTCGGGCAGTCGTGAGTTGTTATCCAGCCAGCCCATCATAACTTATTCTAAGTTCAAGACCTGTAATAATAAGGTTATTTATAATGGTGCTCTCTGGTGGTGGTGGTTATCACTTAATGAAACCATGAGTTTGGAGTTCGTATATTCTAATGCCGTAGCGTGTGAGTAAATAATGAAATAATAAAGTCTGTGTGTCAGCTTGTGTCTAGTAAAAGTTTGTTTTTTTTTGTTAGTTGTGTGTGTGTGTGTGTGTATGTGTTTGTGTGTGTGTGTGTGTGTGTGTGTGTGTGTGTGTGTGTGTGTGTGT